ATCTTTAGTTTCAGATCTTTTAAGTACTTTCAGCCCGCCGATAGTTTTTCCTTATCTGTTAAAGTTAGCTATTAAAAAGAACACCTCTGCGTAACCCTCTGTTCACAGAACGCTACTCTTCCTTTTTTCCCTCTTTGTTTTGTTCTTGGTGCTTTATGAGTTGACTTGTTGTTTGTGTTGCTGCCGTTACTTGTGCTTCGTTTGTATTCTTATCTTTATTTTAGCAGCGGTCATTGATTCGACTTTTTGAGGAAGATACCTATAATCTGCGCAATTGGGGGCATGAGGTAAGTGCTGCCATTGATCAGTGGTGCTTCGCTCAGAAACTGGCACTAGAAGCAACCTCGAAGTTGGCTGCAACCGTCATGTCATACAGTGATCAGGTCATTTATAAAAACTTTTAAAAATTTCCGGCTAGTAATTTCACTGCCATATTTTTAAAGCTCATTGGCGACCGTAGTTTGAAATTTGGATGTTTGGAATTTCTTTTAGTATACTGGAGGTAACTGCTCGTCTACTGCGTATTTTTAGAAGTTTCCTCTGGACGAAACCGCGTATGATATACCCACAATCACTAACCGTGTAGCTCAAACGTTCACTGAAATCAACGGTTGGATGGAGATATTTTTGCAGCAGGTACCTACAACAGTTGCTGCATTCTTTCGCATCTTAATAGGTTCTAAAGAATAAACCCTTTTTTCATTATTTCCCAATGTTTTTCTTGTACAAGAGGATTTTTCAAAGTTACCATCTAGTTATTGCTCTTTTTTTTCCGTTTCATGTTTCTTTCGTACGGTACTATTTTTGCCTTAATTGTTGTCGTTTTTTTTGATAGTTTATATGTCTTTTTTTTCAGTAATTTTTTTGCGATTCAGATAGAATGTTGCGTGCAATATCCAATTCGAAAAATAAATGCCGAACTTGACGAGTTGGTGGAGCATTTGAGGCCTAACGTTGCGGACGCTTTTGTAAGCAGCAGTCTTGATGAACTAGAATTTTTTTTGTATATCTGTTTTTTTCTGCCTTTTAAGGTTTCTCATTTAAACGTTTCTTTTGCAAGGAAGGGTTTCAATTTTAGAGCAACCTTGCTGAAGCTGAAGATAAATTTTTGAGAATGGGTAAGAAAGACGCACCACGTAAGCTGGAAGAGGCTAATAATGACGTTTTCATATCAAAAATGAGCTACCACAAGGTAATCGCTTAAACTGGGATTTTCATAGATGCTGGATAGGCGAAAAAAATTTTTGTTTGCCAATTCTTATAAAATCAGAATTTTATAGAACTGGTAAATTTGCTGCTCATATTGAATGGTACGAGCCGTTCCTGAAATTCTTTTCCTTACAGCTTGCCTTACAATACTGTTCGCGGATGAATGCTTTACAAACTAACCGGTACATGCAATTTATCGAACCGATGTTGGCGTTACTATATGCTTTTAAGTCCCTCTTTAATGTCGGTCATGACGCGTTTCGAAATGAACACCTAACAAGCTTTTTGACTCAAGCCCAACAACAGATGCAAGAGTAAGTTTTTATTTTGACATTTTTAGGAATAACTGAGCACTGCATATGCATGATTGGTGGAAAGTAAATATTTATAGTTCTGAGTATTTGTCATAATTCAGTAATGCATCTTTTCAAAAAGTCAGTGTTGCAAGAGTGATTACAGCATGCAGAATTATAATTTATTTTTTCTAATATTTAGCATTGATAAAAATAGCGAGGCTGACAGAAAGAAAAGTACGGAACTGTTAACAAAACTCTCGGAGCTTTCTAAATCGGAACATGAACTGTATTATGGAGAAAATACTTCATCAGACCAATGTAAAATTGCTGATGGCGTTCAGAAGCATGGATACCTTCGCATTAAGTTGTAAGTTAGTTTCTCGACTTAGAATGCGTGAAATTTTAGGATTTTATTTCTTCTGTTCATATCTGATAACAGAGCTGCCTTCCTTCAATACCTTTTTTTTTTTTTTTTTTTTTTTCTGGAAACGATACGAAATCCTATATTTTTTAGAAAAAGTGGTTTGTTTCTGAGTAACTGGGAGAAATATTTTGTTTTCACACAGGGTGCAAGTTTGATGTGGCAGAAACCAGACCAGTTAGTGGGCACCCTTATGGTTTGTCTCCCTAAAATTCCAGTTTTTCATAAATTTAGACAAAAATCTTTTATTCATTACAGATGTTTGATTAGTTCTCTTCTTGTCCATATTCATCTTTTGAAAGCTTGTGTTCAGTTTTTTGACAATTTTTTTAATACTGTTAGATTAATCTCGGTATTTTTTTTAAAATTAATTTTATTTTAATCAGCTTGATTTTTCTACTACTCCTGGCTGCTCAGCTGAAGTTGCCGGGGATCAAACGGAACGGCGGTTCGTTTTTGCCGTAAATGTGCCTGCAACTGGAGAAGGTCGTGGTGAAGGCGATAGAAAATGGTTTTTGCAGGCAAGAAACACAGCTGATATGCATCAGTGGGTCGAAGTTATCAACAACCTGGCTGGTTCACAAGTGCCTTTTTTGTTATTAGTCATACGGCAGCCTTTTTTTGCAACTTATTTAAATAGTATAGATCTTAGGCTATTTGTAGCATAAAACGCAATTACCAGCTGAGGTAGCCGAAGATGTTCAGCAACGCATAAGTACAGAAAAAAAAAGCTTTGAATCGGAAACCCATTCAATCAACATAGCTGCGCTCACACCGTCAAACACACCTGGTATTTCCAGTTAATTAGATCATCCTTTCAGAAGTAACCATCATTTGCTTTGTCCTTATTGAACATGACAGTTTCAGTAACCAAACGAAGTTTACTGATTTGCAATAGAATCTGATTAAAAACTTGGTATTTTTAGTATATGAGCTCTCAAAGCTTGCTCTAATGAGACAGCCTATTGAATTCGACTTGCTATCATTGTGCGCCAGTCCCGTTACTGATTTTAAGGTCGCTGATTTGGCGCAAGATGCGTGTAATTTTGATGTAAGTAAACTTTTTTGTTTAGAGAGAGAAAGTCGTTTGTTAGTTTTTATTACACTTCGGATACTGAAGAGCAGATCATAAAAACCATCCATCTAGTCGTTTGATGTCTTTTACTGGCGTGCTTATGAAGTGCATGACTTTAAAGGTACGTTTTCTCGGGTGCATCGAGATTCTGAGTGATCAGGGAGGAGATGCAGCGATACAGCCTGCGATTGAAAGGGTTTTGGATGCACGAACAGCTCATTCAATATCCGACAGTACTGCTTGTACGATGGTGATCAGTCGTCGTTTGATGTGCGTTGCGCTCCTAAACCACGAAAATAATGATGATATTAAGTAAGCATTTGGCTACTTAGGGACCCCTTTAAGTTTCTATGTTGCATTTCTTAATTAATTTCACCCTGAAATCATCTGTGATAATATAAACAGATTTTTTTCTACGACTATCTATTTAGAGCTTACTTTGCCTTGTCGGATGTTGTTTGCTGGACAACTCATTCGAATGAACGGATTTTCGCCTTAGTTACAAAGTGTGCTGCTGACAAAGGTAATCACGGAATTATCTTATAGGCCAAAGTAGTCAGAGGGCCTCAGTTCTTTTTTTGATCTGTTATTTTACTCTTCATCGCTTAAATTCAAGATATTGCTGAATAAAAGGCATTTTGTAGCTGCTTAAGGTTACTGTGGGGGAAGGGGTGGGGGGACAGTTACTGCTTGTGGAGGGTTTTGACTCTCATTCATTACGATAATAGGCCTAATTACTTGGTAGTAACATATTCCTCTAGGTCCTTTAAACAGACCGTCATTCAAATGTAGCGTGCTTTCAACAGACGATACTGCTGACGCTTCAGATGTTTGTAAAGTGTTAGAAAGTGTAACAAGAGAATCCTTAAACAGCATGGTTTGTTCTTCATCTTTTTGCTTTTACATTCTTTTCGTTCCCGTGGTACCTAATATCCAAGTCATATCAATCCTTGATTAATTTTCAGTTACTAAAAAAATCTACTATCGACGATGAGAGTGAAGACTTGTCGGTTAAAAAAACTGCAGGATCTGATACAGGCGGTGAAAAAAGTGAAAATGATTCCAAAGGAAGTTGATAATATTTGGAGCTTCAGAAGTGATCTATTAACAGCACTCTGTCTCTTAAGCGCCGTTCGTAATGAAGGTGACCATTTATCGGTTTTATGAGTTTGTTGCGTCTTGAAGTTCCTAGCCTCAGAGTACAGAAATATGAAGGATTTGGAATGTGTTAATTATTTGTACTAACTGCTTTTTTCATCTTGGGGATTGCCCTTCCATCTCTGTTGTACCTGCCTTTTAATCAAAGCATTCTGTTGTGACTTTGCTATTGTTGCTGTCAAGCAGCTTTGTAAATATGGTGATATCTTCTCAGAAATATGGTCCACAAATGCCTTAATTTAGAACAAAGAATGTCTGGGATATATCTTCCGCATATGATATAAGTTATAACTTTTGCCTCTTTCTTCAGATAGCTCTGTCGAGCGTCTTTGTTCCCTCGGGGAAGCGT